GACAACGTTTTTGGTACCAGGAATGTACTTGATGCTAAAGTTGTAGGGTGACAACTTAGCGACCCACCTTTGTTCACATGCATCAAGTTTGGGTTTTGTGAGGATGTAAGAGGTTTAATGTAAGTCCAGACAGTGAAGGTGTGTCCCTTCAACCAATGGCTGAACTTGTCACAGATGGACCATTTCAGCACTAGCAATTCTAAGCAGCATGCAGGGTAGTTACTCTGGGCTTTAGTAAGAGCCTTACTTGCAAAGGCAATGGGACATGCTTTGCTTTCACCCTCTTGAACTTGGGATAACACGGCTCCTAAACCATCCTGAGAGGCATCAGTGCACAAAATGAATGGACTCCTTCCAATCAGTCGGTGTAACTTCTTGAATGCAACAGCTCTTGTCCACTCCTTTTTACACCTTTAAGAGCAGCGGTCAAACCAAAGAGGGGCTTTGCTATGCGCGAACAGTCCAGTATAAATTGCTGGTAATACAATGCCATGCCCAGGAACAACTTGATCTTTTTCTGTGATGGAGTGACACCATCTTCCATCATAAGGTAATTGAAGCTACTGCTCTGACTTCATCAGGGTCAGCTGAAACCACTTTCATCTACAACATGTCCCAAGAACCACACACTTCTCCTGGATAGTTGGCACTTTGTAGGGGCAAACTTTAAGCTGTGGGCTCTTAATCTGCTGAAAACTGTCTCAAGCCTCTTTCTCCACACTTTGTTGGGGGGCATACACCAGCAAGTAACAAAACAGTGTTAGAAAGTTCTGGTCGCCAAAGATGGTCATCATGAGGTGCGTGAAGTTCGCTGGACTATTACAGAGGCCCTGTGGTAGCCTGTTAAACTCATACAACCCCATTGGCGTGGTAAAAGCTGTCTGTTTCTTATCTTCCTCAGCCATAGCAATATCATAAAAGCCAGATGTGAGGTCCATGGCACAGAATATAGCACTGCCTCCCAAAGCTGCCAGGCAGTCTGACTGATGGGACAACGGATGAGCATCTTTGACTGTGCAAACATTCAGCCAGCGGTAATCCACTCAAATCCTCAGATTTTTCTTCCACACCAGTACTAAAGGAGACGCCCAGTCACCTCTAGACTTGCAGATAATTTCACGCTCCTCCATGTCTGTGAGAACCTGTCTCAGTTTGTGATACTGCCCTGGTGGAATGCACCGGTATGGGAGCCTGAATGGATGCTCATCAGACAAATGAATGCCGTGCACAAAATCCTTGGCAAAACCACTGTAGCGGAATATAGTTGGTATATTCTTACAGTTTATTAAGGTCTAGAAATTAATCTTACCATAGAATCAGAAGAGGTTGTTTTACCACAGGGAATTTTATTCAAACACTTTGTATTGACTTAGAGACAAGAAAAGAGAAATATGGGACGTTTAAGAATATTGCTGAAGAATATGCTGAAGTGTTGGTGTGTGTGTGTCAGTTCAGAATCTCCATCTGGTGCGAGGCGAGTCTGAGGGTAAGATGTTGTTTTGACTAACTAACCACAAGGGACTTCAGGAGGAAGAGACATGAAACGCCATCTATGCCGAACTACGTACCTTCGGAGACTCCCGTGTTAGATCCGGAATGCCAGGTCCTCGGACCCTCCTTTGGTGCTGGAACTGATAGCACAGCGTCTGCAGCACGACAAACCAGTCTACGGATAACTCCCGGTAGCAAAGGCAGGTGTCAGTGTCACGTAGAGAGTTCAGCTTTTATTCTGAAGGAACCGTCGTCTTGTTGATAAACGACTGAATTTTCCAGCTTGACAGTTCTCAGCTTAAAAGTAGAAAATACAGCTGGCCAGTCTGTACTTCACTTAGCGATGATGGATTTGAGAGCTGGTCGAGTCCTTGGTTGGAACTGCTCTTAAAATGGCGTTGTTCTGTTTTATTAACTTAGTTGTTTATAATTCTTAACAAATCAGAATGGACCGATTAAGTAAACACCTCAGTGCTCTGCCCCGCAACAGAACGGAAGTTCTGATTGGATGAGTGAACAATGTGTCTTGTGTTTACCTTATGTGGATCAGGATGTCTAGCTCAGAGAAAAGTCCTGTAATTCATTAATCACAGAAAGCATAACATTGTGATTTCACAGATCGGTCACCTGATTATTATTGACCAACAGTTGTTTTGATTAGCTTTATTACAAATAAAGTTCTTTGATTAATTAATGAAAAGCGTTCTTCGTCCTTCTTCTGTCTTCTTTGCTGGAATGTAAACATCAGAAGCAAGCACACGACCTTGGCAATTAATGCACACTGTCACTGTGTCAGAGGGCAGCTGTTAAGGGCAGAAAATGGCATGTTCATAACGCTACACCACCGTCTAACTAGCTTCTAGAGAAAACATCCTCATACTTCTGGACTAACTTGAAAAGTTGTGACTTCCAGTCATCAGACACCTCATGAATATATGTCCAGGTCTTCTAATCCCAGGTCACATAGCAAGTCTTGGAGGTTGGAGGGAGAGGGAAGATTAAAGCTGCTGACTCCCACACAACACACTTTTTGATCACACACACTGACCTTTACATCTGGTCCAGGCATCACTTCTAAATCTTCCAGAACCAAGCAAGTGAACACTTCTGCTACTTTGGTGCAGCGCTTTAAGCTGATGGCTGTCAGAGGTGTTTAGAATTGGACAGGAACCCATCTTCCACCGTTTATTGAAGCCACTAACCTGCATACATCTTATTTATATATCTTTTCTGTGAGTTTGTGTTTTTGATGATGGCTCAATCAAAATAGGACTTCCTTCCGAGAGAGGTCACAACACTGGCAGCTTGGCCCAAACCAGATGTTCTTGCTTTGGGAGGAGAGGAACTGCCTGTCAGCTCAGCAATGCTGAGGAAATCTGGTACCACGTCTCCTCTCCATCTATCAATGCCAAACAGCATGTTGAAAAACCGCATTAACTCAGGGGTTTGAGCGGATTTATGGCTTTTCAAACCTGCCAAAAATTGAGGGGACTATTTGATTTGTTTTAGGAGGTGCTTGATGACATTTGTGTCCAGGATTAACTGATCCTTTTGCCCAGGAACTACCAAAGCAGGCACACTGAACTCAGACCTGTAAACTTCCATTTTCAAACTGTAAATACATTTGGGTTTTACTTGAACTCCTCCACACCCAACAAGGATAATATCATTCTGAAGGCAGTCAGGCTGAGCTGCTAGCCCCGCATCTTTAAGTAGCTGCTCAGCTTCATCACTGAGGGTGCAGGCCATCGAGCCAGGGTCCAGAGGGCCTGTAATGTAACTTTGGCATCCTCCTGGGCGTCAGTGCAAAGAGACTCTCTAGCCTGGTCAGATTCTGAAATACCACAACATCAGGTAGAGCATATTTTAAAGTTTCTTCAAATATAGATGGTATGTCTTCACTAGGACTGAGTGCCTCATCACTGTTACTCACACTGCCCTCTTGAGTGAGAGCTACCTAGTTTCCCTGGTTCAGTGAGCTTCCAGCCCTCTGGTTATCAGTGGGCCATGGGCAGTCTTTCTTCTGATGTCCTACCTCCAAACAGTTCAAACACCTTCTCTCTTTCATACCATGAGTTTGCATAGAGTGGGCACCATCACCACAAACCTGACAACAGGTGGAGTGATTCAGGCTGAAAGACTGAGGTCTAGTGTTAGCAGCAGACTGGTTGGTACGTTCTAACATTGTTAAAACATGCTCCATAGCTTTTGATTCTGGTGCGACTGCCTCACTCGTCCTGGTTTTTGGTACAGGAGTAATCATGGCTCCGAAAGCTCCTGCCTGGTGTGCCGCTAATTAAGTTCCTAAGTAGGAACCTTTTAACAAACATTCGTAAACCAAAAAATACACAACAATAATAAAAATAAATGTAAAAAATAATCAATTTCAATATAGTGGTTTGTTCTCTTGAAACAAACTGGCTCAGCTACACGGACTTGGGTGAAGGGTATTACCCACAATCCATTGCTGCAGAAGAACAGCCTCAAGTACCTTTTCTGAAAATATGTATTTTCAAAAGAAAGTAGTTCCTTTTAGGATAATTAGTTGATGCTCTGAATGTGTTAGACAAAGCAGCAATGAATCAAAATTTATTTCTAATTATTGTTTGGTTGAAAGTTGTTAATAAAGACTTTTTGAAAGTAGCACAGCGACCAGCTTCTCATTATGCGTTGTGGTCAGTTACGCAATGTTCCCCGTTCCAGTTCGGGAATTACTTGCACACTTGTGTACCACACAATGGAAGCCTGCACACTTCTTCCAAGTGCACTTTGCTGAAGCCCATAGGTGGCAGTGCGAGTGTTGGGACTGGGCCTTATACTCTCCTCCTCGCGGTGCTTTTGGGTTTCTAACACCTTAATGTAACTGGAATGTCTCCTCAGCCTTCACTGGTGTCTACAGGAGCGGTTCATCACTAAATCAAACAAATCAGCTGCTGGAAGCTAGCATGTCCGCTAGCCACTTCACTACTGACTAACAGACTTCCTGCTGGATAACATGACCAAGATCCTGAGAGGAGGAGTCATGTGACCACAGGGAAATGCTGTAGCGGGGCGGCAAACCCAAACTCTAGGCGATAACTGCGCGTTACTCTAGAAGCTACCCGGACCTGCCGGTAGCTTCATCAGGGCTGATAACTAGGACGGGTCGACCATTGTCCCTGATGGAGATGAAGCTCATAAACAAGGAGACGAGGAAGCATCGGTGACAACACTTGTGTAGGTCTTATGTTGAGTGGATGATGGGTGATGGACCAGGATGTGATCACCACCACCTGACTAATATGTTTAGAGATAATTACAAACCCAGGGAAAACATATTAAACTTGGACTCTGGTCAACAGGATGGTCTGCATCCCGTCTGATTCCTCATATGTCTCTGAGCTCTCGTCATTCGGAGAACTCCAGATGTTGACTCTGCTTTGACTCCGGCTGTGGTCGGAAGTTTTTTTCTCTCTCTTTTAGCTCCATCACATAAACGGTTTCTTTGTTTCTTCTGAGGCTCCGCTATGATGAATGCTGACCAGGTATAGCTTGTCTGACTTTTCTCACTTCATCTGTCTGGTTTCCATGGAAACATTCATCCTTACCTTGTGATTGACAGCCCACTGAGCCAACAGGAAGGCTGACGGTGTTTCAGTCGGATGAAATTCAGATTATTCAGATTAGACTTTTGAGAGTGAGGCTAGGCTTGGTGGAGTTTGGATCGTGTGTGAGCATGCACTCACACCCATGATGATGTCATCGTCCTCCTTCATGTCCGAGGAGGTTGATGTGTGGAATAAATTAGACCAGGAGCAAAAAGATTGTTCAACAATGGTAAAGTTTAAGGGTTTGTTTAAATCAAATGTGATTAAATATTATGAATCAAGTCAATGAAAAAATGCATAAAACATTAAAGGTCTTTTTTTTTTTATAAAGCTAGAATGGGGATTTGAATATATTCCCATACATTTCAAACATGATGTAAAAATTATGGAATCGGTATGCTATTCTAAAATTTTGTTTAAGTTCAAAGGGTTTGGGGGGCTGGGCTTATAAGCTTATGCTTCTGCCTGCGCCCATTCTTAGCATTGTGTAAGTTGTGTGTTTGCTTGTAAACCTGCAAATGTTTCTTTGTTATATTATATTGTACTATTGATTTTAATTTCTCATTAAACTTCATTAAACAAAGGTGAGGATAAACCCGGACCAGGTCTGAGACATCCTAGTTTAATCTGGATGGAATCCTAATCCCGTTTTTACCTGTTGGCTCCTTTGTTGCACATTCCTGTGTTTTTAAAGAGCTGTGATTTGAGCTGCTGTGTGTTCTACTAGTTTTATTGATTATTATGGTCTGCAGGCAGACAGTAATCAATGAACACTCGAGCATCTCGGAGGTCCAATCATGGAAAACCGGAGCGATCATCATTATTTCTCTCTCCGTGTTTCTGATTAAGTCTCCGAACTTCTTTAATAAAGAGAAACACAAACAGAAACTTTGACTATAAAGGAAGTTGTTTTTGTCCTGATTGTGGCTCAAACTCTCATTTCAACAAACGGTGAAGAACAATTTTTGGTGTTAGCAAACAGCCTCCCAATTATCCCGGTTCTGATTGCTTTCCTCCATCAGGTGAGCGATTAGACCAGCGCTCCTGCGAAGCTCTGGAAGTCGTCCTGCAGTCGCTGCACTTTGATTTCATCAATCTGCAGGCAGCTCAACTGGAAGAAAATGTGAGTTTTATGAGCAAAACTTCTTTTTCTCATCTTCTAGTTCCAATCCAGTTTCATATTCAGGCATTTCCTCAGATCAGATTAGAGTTTTTTTCTTCCCAAAGAAACTTCATAACATTCCCGTCAAATTTAGAGCCGTGCTTTCTTCATTTCTCCTCTCGACTGTTTTCTGTTCCAGGGAGCGTCATCCTTGCTGGAAATGATTCTGTACTATGAATCTGCCACCTATCTTGACATTTCTGACAACAGCAGCCTGGGAACATCGGCTTGGAAGGCCCTGGCTCATTTGATAAAGCAGGTTGGCTCGGCGTTCCCGCTGTAATCTGTTCATGTAGGATTCCTCACAGGGATCATGTTCATCCTGCAAACTCAGTTTGAGGAGCATTACAGGGAAGATTCAGGGCCCAGCAAACAGGGAGAGGAGTCACCACACTGCAGGAACACACACACACACACACACACACACACACACACACACACACACACACACACACACACACACACACACACACACACACACACACACACACACACACACAAAATAACCAGCTGATACATCAAACACAAGGTCAGAAACTGGCTGACAGCAAAGCCACAAACAGGTTTATTTATGTTCACAAATGTTCATGGATTCACCAGGTGTGTGTGTGTGTGTGTGTGTGTGTGTGTGTGTGTGTGTGTGTCAGAGTGTGCGTCTGTACAGGTTGGATGTGTGTAACGTGCCTCTGGTTGACTATCCTGCTCAGTGTTTGTCGAAGGCTCTGCAGAGCAGCCGCCTCACCGTGCTGCACCTCCACAACGCCCAGCTGAGCGGCAGGCCACTGTTCAGTCTGGGTATGAAGCTCACACACATGTCTATCTTTCTATCTCAGTGAGGACCCTCCATTGACTTCCATTCATTTTAGTGACTGGATTGTGCCTAAAGCCTGAGTCATGCTTCTCCGTCAGCTCCAACAGGGAGAGACACGCACGCACGGACGGAGGCGTTTTGCCCTCATACGTCTCCGTCTCCTGGAGAGTGTTGCAACGCAATTCCCCACCAGGACAGCAGAGGGCGTAGCGCTGTTCTGTGGTATCCTGTCATGTATCCAATCCAAGATAGTGTGTTTATATTGTGTTTTTTCTATATAAGAGACTTTTTAACACGGACATATTTGTCTCTCATTCTCCTCCACCTCTTCATGCGCTCGCCACCTCTAAACCCACACTTCCTGTCATTTCCGTCCACCAATAAAACGCTTGCTGCGCACCTTAACACTCCTCCAGTCACGGGGGAATTAAACGTTCATATTTTAGAGT